GATGATTATTATTTATATATTACCAATATTTCATTATTGGTTGGTTTGTTATAAATTCATATATTGTGAAATGAATTATATGAGCACAGTGGAATGAAGATATAAATCCAGTTGTACATTTAAATATTTCCATGATTAATGGGACACTTGCGCCTGTCTGGATTTGCATATTCCTTTCGATGTTATTGAAGGACTGGAAATAATAATTGGTGAAAAATGAAGGCAGTCCAGATGCAAGAAAAAAAAGAGAGTAAAAAAAAGAAGGAAAGAGAAAGAAAGTGAGGCTTGTGTCAATGAGTGAGTGGGCGTGAGTGAGAACCATGGTGTATGTATTTTGTGTTGTTTGTGTGTGTGTGTTCATGTGACCTACCGTGTGTTTGGTCGTTTGTCGAAGAGATAGAAAGATAAGATTCAAGAGAGAGCAGAGACGACGAGAGGGAGACGGACTGTGAGAGATTAAGAGTCGAGATGAGAGAAGGAGAAGAGAGAATGGAGGGAGAGAGGAGAAGAGAAAGAGACGATAGAGATAAGAATAGAGATAGAGAAGAGTAGGAGAGGAGGAGGAGTGGGGGGAAAGAGGAGGAGGAAAAGAGGACGGAAAGGAGTAACAAGGATATGTGAATGTGTCAGTGATGTGAGTGGGTGCCAGCTATGTGTGTCGTTGTCTCATGGTGTACGTGTGTTTGTACGTTGTGTGTATGAGGATGAAGAGAGAGATGACGGGAGAGAGACTGAAGGAGAGAGAGAGAGAGAGAGCGAGAAGAGGAGAGAGACGAGAGAGAGAAGAGAAGAGGAAGACTGAGAGATAGAGAGAGGAGTAGACGGAGGAGTAAGGGAAGAGAGGAGAGAAGAGAAGGCCAGAAAGGAGGAAAGTGCAGTTAGTGGAGTATGCCACGTTGAGTAGTGGGTGGAGTATCTGTCGTGTTTGTGTGTGTGTCTGCGTGTGTGTGTGTGTTTGCGTGTGTCGCTCCGTATGGGCGTGTGAATAATCCCCTCACCTTTTTCTATCAGAATGGCCAATCATATTCAGTAAAACATGATGGAAGAGCCAGCCTTGTAACAGGTAATTACTGTTGACTGATCTCGGCGTGATACAAGAACCGCTGACGAAGAAAAAAAGAAGTATAAATATGATAATACGATGGATTGATCCTTGTGATATCAAAATAATTTATGCTTGAGGGTAATTTTCAGATAAAAAATCTAAGTTAAATTATGTTTGTATACCTTTGTGCTAGGACTGTTCAAATCACTTAGTTGTGGGTTAAGACCCGTGGTGATCATAGTCCTTCATATGTATGGCCATATTCTCTCCTCTCTCTCTCTCAATTGCTCTCTCAATCTACCTGGCCTCTTTCCCTCTCTCTCTCTCTCTCTCTCTCCTCTCTCCTCTCTCTCTCTCTCTCTCTCTCTCTCTCTCTTCTCTCTCTTTCCCTCTTTACATACATTTCTCTCTCTCCCTCTCTTCTCTTTCCCCTCTCGCTCTCTAGCCTCTCTTTCCTCTTTCTCTTTTCTCTCTCTCTCTCTGAGCATCTCTCTCTCTCTTCTCTCGTCTCTTCTCTCTCTTCTCTCTCTCTCTCTCTCTCTCTCTCTCTTCTCTCTCTCTCTTTTCTCTCACTACCTCTCTTTTTCCCCTGCTCTCTCTCTTTCTCTTTGCGTCTTTCTTTCTTTCTCTTTTCTCTTTTTCTTTCTTTCTCCTATATCTGCTTTCTCTCTCTTCTCTCTTCCTGCTCCTCTCCTCTCTCCCTCTCCTCTAGCGGGTCCACTCTCTCTCTTCTCTCTCTCTCTCTCTCTACTCTCTCCGTCTCAACTTCTCTCCTCTCTACTTAGCGTCTCTTCTTTTGCGGCACTCTCTGCTCTCCCTCTCTTTTCTCCTACCCTCTCTTTCTCCTCTCTCTCTCTTCTCTCTCTCTCTCTCTGCTTCTCTCTCTCCTCTCTGCTCCTCTCCCCATCTCTCATATAACTCTCTTGCAGTCTTCTCTCTCTCTCTCCCATTTCCCTCCTCGCCCCTCTCGCCGTCTACTCATCAGAATTTCATCCTCTCTTCTTCTCTCAGTTTTTCCTTCTTCCTCTCTCTTGGTCCTCTCTCTTTCTTCTGTGTGTGTGTGTTATGTTTCTTTGTAATTTGGGTTAGTGTTTGTTTTTTTGCATTAAAGATAGGGAGTACAGAGGAAAACAAAGAATTTCTTGATATTTCTAAGGTATTTAGCTTGGTGTATGGGCTAATATTACGTATAGTGAACATTTATTTCTTGATTTGAAATATTTCTATTTATTTATCTATTATTACTTTCTAATGCCAGGAAGGATTCGTTAATAGCACCTAGCACTTGAAATCCAGCAACAATTAGGAGTATTTGTGTTATCAAAGTGAACAGCAACATCAGCATTAGTAATATCAATAGTAGATGTCTTAGAGACTGTAGCAACAACAGGAATATCAGCTACAGCAGAGTAACAGTTGTAGAGTAGTCAAAACAATACCAATAACAACAACGGT